GAATACAACAATAAACTGAGTCCTGTGAGTCCTCCTGGTGAATCATTGAACAAAAAGCTGCTGTTGGAGACTCCTGACACAATGCCACACTCCAACCAAATATGACAGAGAAAGCAGTGGTTCCACCACCACCTCTGTCAGCAACATGCCAGTGGGGAGCCTAGACTTTCACCCTTGCCAGGCTATAATGAGCTATTCCAACCCCTCTTCCAGGATGGTGTCAGAGAAAACTGAGTGGGAAGCCAGAACGTTTACCTTCTTCCACTGGGGGCCGTGTGGGAAGCAGTGATGAAGCACCCCTCTACCTCCCAACTAGGACGCAATCAGTGGAGGCTGGTGGAGAATCTGAACTCCCAGCCCTACTCAGCAGTAATGCGGTGCCCTTTTCTGCCCACACGGGGGGTCAGAGGATGTCTACTGAGGAACCTGGACTTCTACCCCGAGCAGGAAAAGCATTTAAAGACATAATGTCTGAAAATTTCCCAAACTGGCAAAAGGCATAAACCTACCAAATAAAAAGGCTGAATGAATCTTAAACAGAAGAAACCTAAATAAATCTCCCCCAAGATACATTACAGTCAAACTTTTCAAAACTAAAGATAAGGAAAAAAATCTTGAAAGTAGCAAGAAACAATGGCTTACAAACAGCAGGAAAAACAATTTGAATGATAGCAGATTTCTCCTCTAAACCTATGGAGTCCAGAAGGAAGCCACTTCTTCAAGTACCAAAGGAAAGGAACTATCAATCCAGACTCCATAACCAGTGAAAATACGTTTTAGTAATAAGGAGAAGTCAAGACATTCTTAAATGAAGGAAGCGTAAAAGAATTTGCTGCCAGCACATTGATCCTAAGAGAATAACTAGAAGAGGTTCTTGAAACAAAAAGGAATCTTGGGACAGTAGGAAGAAAGAAAAATGGAAAGAATAAAAATATGGGTAAATATAACAGACTTTCCTTCTTCTTGAAACTTCTAGGTTATATCTGATGATTGAAGCAGAAATTATAACATTGTTTGATATGGTTCTCAATGTATGTAACAGGAAATACTTAAGGCAATTATAAACTATGGGGGCGGTAAAAGAACTTAAATAGCAGTAAAGTTCTTATACTTTATTCTAACGAGCAAAATACCATCAGTGGTAGATTGATATGCCATGTATATACAACGTACTATTTAGAGCAACTAAGAAAAAATTTATACAAAGAGATACACTTTAATACAAATTCAAATGACATTCTAAAATTATGTTCAAGTAACTAACAGAAAGACAGGAAAAAGAAAACAGAAAACCCCAAACCAGAAAACAATAGTGGCAGACTGAAGCCTTAAAATACCAATCATTTTATAGACAAGTGGTCTATTTTATTTGTAAAAGCCAAAAACTGGAAACCACCAAAATGCCCACTAGGTGAATGGTTAGACAAACAGTGATAAATTTATACCAGGGAATCCTACTCAGTCATAAAAGGAAATAGACTGCTGATACACAGAATAGCTTGAATAGAACTCACAGGTCTTATGCTAAATCAAAAAGGCCAGTCTCAAAAAGCCACATACTGTATAATTCCATTTACAGAACATCTGGAAATGACAAAATCATAGAGATGAAAAACAGATTAGTGATTGAGGGTGAGGAATGGTGAGAGAAACGGGGGTGGGTGTGAGTATAAACGGGTAGCACAGGGCTATCTTTGTGGTGATGAAAGAGTTCTGTATCTTGATTGCAGTGGTGGCCATAGGAACCTACGTGTGATAAAATGGCACAGAACTATATGCACACACGTACCAATGTCAATGTCCTGATTTTGATATTGTGCTATAACTACATAAGATGGAATCAATAGAAAAAATTGGGTGAAGGGTACACATGATCTCTTTTTGCAACCCCCTGTAAATCTAAAATTATTTTAAAATATCATGTATAAACCATATACACATATGTGTGTATATCTAAAGCACAGAAAAGGTTTGCAAGGATACGCATACAAATTAACCATGGTAAAGATATGTCTGTCTTGTTTTTTATAAAAAAGAAAAAGAATGCAAAATTATTGTAAAAAAATTCGAATACAGAAAAATAGAAACAAAGTGAAACTCACCTGCTGTATGATGCCATCAGGAGATCATTTCACTCATTCATTTTAACAAGTATTTACTGAGTGAATCCTATGGTGCCATGAACAGTTAACATTTTGGTGTGTATTTCAGAAGTTTCATATACAAATTATAATCATTATAAGCATTCATGTGTATTATTATATAATATACTCTCGTTACTTGACTTTCTATTCATTATTCATCCACTTGCAAACATGTATTGAGTACCTGCTTTAGCCAACATCATGCTATGCTCTGAGAATACAGTGCTGAATAGAGCAGACATGGTCTGTTTCCTCACAAAGCTTACACTAAGAGACTGTCACTAAACAAATTGAAAGAAACCCACAATTACAGATTATGACAAGTTCAGACAAGTGCAAACAGTGCTGTGAAATGCCCAACTGTGAAAGGAAAGTAGTTATGATGGCAAGATACCATGACATATTAGTCATTGCTGGAAATGAGCCAGTAGAGAGAAAGAGGTTAAAAATACAAGAGCAAGAGAGAGGGATACTGTAAATATAGAAAGCTTCCTGAGAGGGAAGGAGCCAGAGCATATGCATATGGGTTGGCTTCAGGTAGAAAGAAACTGACACACTGAAACAAGAAAAAGAAGTGAGGACAAGTGCAGATATAACTTAGCTTGTAGATATAGAGGTCTGAAGCTCAGGCAACTCTTCTTTGAGATTATCCATTTTCTTAGCAAAATGTCATCTGCCAAGAACAGGGATGTTAACTGGAAGATCTGAGACTGGGAGACAGATGAGGTTTTAAGCAGTCATTTGGGGAAGCTAGTTGATAGAGATAGGCAGTAGTACACATGCCCAGGGGACTTAGGGTGAGACCTGTAGAGTATGTTCTATGGGGCAGATTCTAAGCATTTTCAGCTCACTGATTGCAGCCAGGGAAAAAAAATAAAAAATTAGAAGAGAGAAATAAAGTGCTACGGTGAGCTAAATTTAAAAAAAAATTAGAAAGAGGATTATTTTTCAACTGAGAGGAGGAAGAAAATGGCCTAAGAGAGAAAAGGGAAGGAAATACACAGGTCAGGGGAAGATGGAGATACAAGCAGGGTGGTGATAGATTTCTGGTTGGGGCAGGAATGTCCTTTTGTCTTCCAATCCAGACATGGTCACAGTGACATCAGCAGTTTCTCACCTGATTTTGTGAAATTGTTTCACATTTCTTTTAATCTCATAGACCTGACAACCTATCAAAACCCTAGGGAGGAATTCACAGGCACTTTCAGTTGCTGCACAGAAACATGAGGGACACACAAGTATATCAACCTCCACACAGCAGAAGAGAGGCTCTAACGAGCAGCAGGAGACAGATGTTTAATTTCTCTCTTCTTACTGGCAACTGTGAGCTCTTTTTTAGGTCCACTTTATATACATTCCTACTTACTGAGTCCAGTTCTTTTATTCAAATTATATCTTTCAACCCACTCCAAATGCTTTCTTATTTTTGATTTAATGAATGTTTAGCTAAATATAAATGGACTTAGAGGAACTGAGATATGGGCAGAAGATAACTTCAAATCATGTTAAATGGACTATTTCTCTAAAACACTGTGGTATCATTATTCTGAGAAATACCATTGCTCCAAAACTTAGCTAGGTAATTTGTAATCATTAAATTATTTATACTCCAGTAATACCAGACTTATCAGACAATTTATACAATGGCTATTCCATGAGGAAAAAGAACCTCCTTATGAATCTTGTTGCTTAGAATTAGTGAAGCTTAAAAATGTTTCGGCTCACCTTTATGTTAACAAAAACAAGCCTCTCTAATCACAACAGCAAAAAAATAAAGAGTGGCCGAGAAATTGTTTGGCACGTGAACAAAGCTAAAAAAAAGAGACTGGGTTGAAAGAAGATTATAATTCATTCTGAAGTCCAGTCCCTTGTCTTTTGACCATCTCTCTGACTGGATTGCTAATGTGTAATTTCTGTACAAATTCTTCTAATTTGGGGTTTTCCCCTCCCATTTTTGAAGTGGGAATACTTTTTTTTACTGAAAATGTTTCGTTTTTAAAATAGAGCAGATATTTACACATTACAAGTGCAATAAAAATTACCAAAAAGCTAAAGAAAATAAAATAGTTTGTGTGTCTCAACTAAAAAGCTGTTAAGACACAAAACTTGGCTCTTTGCTTCCCTTCCATGACAGCCAAAAGGGAAACATGAATCAGTTACATCGCTATCAAGTAGAAGGAAAAATACAAATAATTCAAGGACTGGTGCATATTGGAAGCCAGTATTATTTTCACCTTTTCCCTTCCTTTTCAAAACCTAAGTTTTATTTGGCGCCATATACAACAATCTAGCGGGCATTTCCCCCCCTCACCTAGCAGAAAGCAATGCACGTTGGGAGTTGGCTGTATGTACCTGAAAGGGGCTGCTCTGGATTTCCATTAGCGTCTGGAATTCTTTTGTCAGGGTTTGTAACTGGCTTTCTTAGCGTTCTGAGGGAAGATGGAACGGAGGTAGGAATGGACGGGTGTGGATTCAATTCGATACAGTACTACAGTAATCTTGACTGCAGCTCTCATAATGAGATTTCCTTCCCTCTCCTGACGATCCTCAGTTTCCCCCTTGGATTGGGTAAAACGGGTAGAATTCTAAACTCCTGAAATTAAGAATGTTGGTGGCCTCTGGTGCCAGGTAGAGTTCTCAAGCCTTCAGTCCTCAAACGCCTCCTTTCAGGGCTCACTCGGAACACGACAAAGCCACACGAGCCGCAGGTACCGCTCAGACGAAGACGTCAGCGCACCTGGGCCAGCGCGCTCACCGCCGCCACCCCAGCTCCGACTCTGGCGGAACAATACGGGGACGTCACAGCGGCGCGCGCGCCCCGCTCAGAGCCCGCGAGCGGACGCATGCGCAGAACAAGGGAGGACCAGCAGCCGTCCAGAGATCGGAGGCCGCTGCACAAGCGGTCCCAAGGAAAGGCCTGGCTCCCTCGCCGCGGTGAGGTGGTGCTTAGCAGCGGCTATATAGCATTACTACCAGGAGAGAAACAAGGGAAGCACCCGTCCCCTATCTGCGCTCTTCGGTTTCAAAACCTAACTTCCGGTTCGTTAGCCGGTTCCGGTCTCCGCCTCTTACTTCCGGTCGCGTTCGGTTCCGCTGCGGCTGGTTCCTGCGTCCGCTGCCGCCGGTTCCGCCGCGATCCAGGTGAGGGGACGCGGGGCTTCCCGGCGCGCTGCCCGCGGAGAGGCCGTTGGCCTGGGGGATCGCAGCTTTGGTGTCCTCTCGTCGCGGCCTCCACTGCGGCCGGCCAGCCGGGCGGGCCAGGGGCTGCTTGTGGGCTCCCCGGCCGCGTCTGCCTTGGTCCGCCGCCCAGGCCTCCGGTCCCGGCCCGTTCATCGCCGGGGCCGCCGCCCTCCCATCCTGCCCCATAGCCTAGGAGGAGGGCTTCCTGGGCCTCAGTGGGTTTTGCGTCCCCAGACTTTATTCCTCCCTCTTCTGGGGTTTGTCCATCTCTCCCCCTCCCTGTTGAATGCATCCTGGCCTTCTTGGATTTGCGGCTCTATCTGCCCCCTGTGCTGTCCCGTACCAGTCACTTCTCGCAGCTCTCTCCGCACTCGGTCGCAGCTGCTACTTTGTTGTGTAGGAGTTGACAGTACTTCAACAATTACCTTTTACTAGGCATGTTAGAAAAAGTTAACCCCCACCCCTCAATTGCCAAGGTGTTAACTTTTGCCGCGAATAGTTTCGAATTAACTGTCTTTGCGACTTTTTAGTTGTGTGGTCTCGTGCAGGTTGTTTTGCTTCTTTTTCAACTTTCTAATCTGTATAATGAAGACGTTAGTAGTCGGTTTAGGATCGTGAAGATTAAATGAGATTTTTCAGTTAAGTTGTTGAGCATGTTGTTATTTTTCTGTCATCCGTATTTTTCTTTACAGTTTACAAAGTGCTGTCACGGCTGTTATCGCGCGCCTTAACACTATTCTTGTCAAGTAAACATTAACAGCCTCATCCTGAGGTGTAGAGATGGAGATATTGACTAGGCAAGTCACCAGTGGATGTTAGGTAGGAGAATTTACCCAAACAGCCGTTCTTGACCCTAGGTTCACTGTAAAGGTGTGCTCCTTGCTTACTTGTTTGGGATTGATTGCCACCCCACCCGCAAGATCACTTTTCAGTTTATAAATCTGATGGGGTCAGGAGTGATACAGAACTTTAGACTTGTGTAAGAAAGAAGGCTTAATGTGAAAACATGCAATGGCTCATGCGTTTGCATTGTGTTGTTCCGTTGTTGTGAATGATGTGAATATTGAAGGAGTGAGGGTCAGTAACTTTCAAAAACAGTGTTAAGGACTTTATGCATTAAAAATGTTTATGGTGTTTGTTTTGTTGTGCTTGGTCCTTTAGAGCAGTTGCCAACTTTGAATTCCCACTTGTGGCATAGGTGATGCTCAACGTTTGCATGCTGTTTTACTAAGAAAATAGAGCCCATACCATCTGGCACATTTTCTTTTTCAAGGCTGAGAAAATTGAAGAGCCTAGAGCTCTAGCTCTTAAACTTTAGCATGCCTCAGAGATCGGTGGGGAGATGGGGAAAGGGATTGTTAAAGTACAGATTGCTAGGTCTCTTCTCTCCAGACCCGATTATATTTCTGACATGTTACCAAGTGGGGTCAGTGGTCTGGGGACCACACTTTGAGAACATTGGTCTAGAGCCACCATGGCTTGTCCACCTTCACCTGGAGTTCAGCTGATCTCACTTCAAATGTTCTGCTCTGCCCAACACAACGTATTGTATTAGTGCTGGTTGCATTCCCAGCTCTTGTACATTTCCATTTTTATTTCCATTTCTTACAGAAAAATAATATTTAAATGCTATTTCAGTTTGACTCAAAAGGCCCATTTAGCTTTTTATTAAGGATCATAACATTTGTTGGCGCAAGTGCTCTACGAACTGGAATACATTGCCCTAAAGTAACACACCTTCTTTAAAGTTTTCTTTGTATACTGCTGTATTTGTTTGTATACAACTAGAGCAGGTTGTAAACATAAGAGAATAAATGTAAGTGAATTTATGGTGCTCTTTCCTGATGGGCATGTTGAGGACACCTTAAGTTTCCAAATTATGTTTGCATGTTAAGATTCAAAGTTTGCCTTCTTTCTTGCAATTGGTCTTAATTCGTGAAGAGTAAATCAGATGTTTTCTTAAATATGTGACAGCGTTGGGAAATACTAGTATTCTGATATTAGAAAATCTAGTAATCTGACCTGCGTTTGCAAAAACTGGTAGAAAGCTTGATGGGGGAGGAGACCTAAGTGCCACTCTTGATGACTGGCAGCTGCTGTTTATAATCTTTGTGTGCTTTTATCTGTGCCTGTGGGTTTTGTATTTACTGATCTTTGGTGCCTTAACTCCTGTAGGTCCAATTCAAGAGAGACAGTTGTGTAGGGGAAGAAACGTGAGATTTAGTTTCAAAAGACCTCTTTTGTTATAAGCTGTGTGCCCATAAGCAGATTATATAACCTGTCTGAACTCCTTTTTTCCTTAATTGTAGAAGAGGGGCAATTCTTATCAAATAAACTTGTTAAACGAGATTGCATAAAAACTGCCCAATGTGTTAAATATGAAACAAATAATGGCCATTTACTGTTTATTTAGTGCAGTGCCTGGAGCACTTCCGGTCGCCTTCGGTTCCGCTGCGGCTGGTTCCTGCGTCCGCTGCCGCCAGTTTTTAAAACAATTTATTTAACCAAGTATATAGTTATATAGAACCTACTATGTGCCAGGTAGTATGTGACTTATAGAAATGAACTAATGTAATCCTCATGAGAACCCTAAGAAGTAGATAGTATTATCATCCATATTTTATAGACGAGGAAACCTTTGCACTCAGAGTCAACTAACTTCTCAAGGTTAAATAGCTAGTAAGTGGGAGAGGTGAGATCTGAACCCAGGTAATCAGGCTCTCTCTAGAGCTTGTGCTCTTACAACTCATTGTCCTACCTTGCAAATAGTAAATGAACACGGATGGTCCATCGTGGAGGAACTTGGCCTGTAGCGTAAAGCTGATCAGAGAGGGAGGGATAGATAGCGCATTTATTGCAGCTTTCCAGTTCAACAGGGACAATCCGATAGAATATTAGGCAGTAGTAACTCTGAGCCAACACTTGGAGGGTGGGGGAATTTTGACTTTGAGTCCTAATAACTGTTGGCATTCTGATAACATTTCTGTAAGAAAATCCTGTTTCTCTGTTATCAAGTTGTAAAATATGGCTCAGACAAGACAGTTTATAAAACTTAAAGTTACAGATTTAAATACATCTTTGATATATCTATTTTAACTTGTATCTGCCTTTCTTTCTAGGTGTCTTTTTCTGAAGGAAAACTGCCTCATCATATGTTTCAAGGATGGCTCTTCCTATCATCGTAAAGTGGGGCGGACAAGAATATTCAGTGACCACGCTTTCAGAAGACGATACTGTGCTAGATCTCAAACAATTTCTCAAGACCCTTACAGGAGTGCTACCTGAACGCCAGAAGTTACTTGGACTCAAAGTCAAAGGTGATTCTCTCCTTACTTCAAAATTTTTGTATTGGTACATTTATATTAGCTGTTATCTGTTCTCTTTAATAATTCTTTCCCCTTGGAGATTTCTTTGATAGAGAGATCTCTAAAATTGTTTTAGTGATACAAGTAAGAATATTTAAGGATACTTGAAAATACCACCACTATTAAGATTACTTTTGATTCCTCTGACAGTTGATGTTTGCTTGTTAAACCTTTGACACAGGTAAACAGTGTAATTTCTAATATCTACCTTCTAGCACAGCCTTTGCATTACAGCGTGGGCCTTTTACTCCAAATTATCTTTTATGTTTCAAAAGTAATGAGATTTAAAATTGTGGGTAGTGTTCATATCCAGTTTAAAGGTACTTTTACAGTGTTTGTGTTTGTCATATCATTGAAGGGTGAGTTCTGAGTAGTAAATCTACAGTTATCTCAGGCACTCAATTTTCAATACTTTTTGGAAAAAAAGTGTCTTCATCTTGAACAACAAAATAAAACATGAATTAATTTTGTTTAGTTAGTTGAATTAAAAATGTTCCTCTAAGATGGAGTTGGGGGAAAAGACCCAACTTTGCATTAGTTGCTACTTCTTAGTTTGTTATAAATTACTAATTCAGCAGTAATAGTTGCTTAATTTAAGGGCAGAAAAACCTGCTATGGAATCTGTACCAAACCTTTTAATGTTTGGGTTTTGTATAATGGGATAGTGAAACCAGAACCTGAACTTTAGTGAGAAAACAGTCATTTGCTTGTATTGTAGGCAAACCTGCAGAAAATGATGTTAAGCTTGGAGCTCTCAAACTGAAACCAAATACTAAAATCATGATGATGGGAACTCGTGAGGAGAGCTTGGTAAATGTTTACTTTTGTTACCATTTGTCCCTTTGAAGATAATTATGATTTATATTACACTATTACACTGTTGTATCATAGTTTTAATTGTAAAATTGTCAGTTTAGCAGTCAATGAAAAATAAAAGCTGCACAATGAATGTGGTATGAACTCAGCAGAAAGGAAATACTGGAGACCTTGTTAGAATACAGTTAGCTGTGAGTACAGTAGTAGTGCTAATGGCCAAGTTTTACGTGGTAAATCTGCCCTCCCAACCTGTATAATGAGAAAGAAAATGTGGAAGTTTTCCCATAGTGTGTGCTTGCAAGGCTCTTGGACTCAAACCGTACATCTCATTTGTTTTTTATGCTATTCATGTAGTTGTTATGTTAAAGGTAGTACGGTAAAACAGAACTATTTTTCATCTTAATAGGAAGATGTCTTAGGTCCACCTCCTGACAATGATGATGTTGTCAACGACTTTGATATTGAAGATGAAGTAGTTGAAGTAGAAAATAGGTGAGTGCTTTTCACCATCAAAGGAAGTTTGTTGTGATGTGAGAAAAAGTGAATGTTTCATCTGTTTTTATTTTTCATTAGGGAAGAAAACCTATTGAAAATTTCCCGCCGAGTAAAAGAGTACAAAGTGGAAATTTTGAATCCTCCCAGGGAAGGGAAAAAGCTTTTGGTACTCGATGTGGATTATACATTATTTGGTAAGTCAGCTGAAACTGTGGTTCATCTTCTGTTACCCGCAACTTTTTTCCCTTTTATTTGTTTATTTTTTCCTTGCAATATCAAGTATTTGAAAGCTTTTCTTTTTATTATAAAAGTAAATCATTGTAAGTGAAAAAAAGAAGTCCTCTGTAATCCCAAGAGCCAGAGATGACCAGTCATTCTGTTACGTGTATCTTCCAGGGTGTTTGTACATGTATCCTTTTTATGTTTACTTAATGATACATTGAACATCTCAGTCATGTAATACTCATTGTGAGTCAAATATATATATTTTTTGGTCAGGCAGTATTCCATTTTTTGGAGGCGTGATAATTTAATTAGGTCATTCCCTATTGATTAACATTTATGTTTTTATGAGGATTATTTAAAACTCATTTTTGATTTTCTTTTTGAGGTGGATAATTAGGTTTTTATTTATTTATCCTTAATGGAGGTACTGGGGATTGAACCCAGGACCTTGTGCATGCTAGGCATGCACTCTGCCACTGAGCTATACTCTTCCCTCCATTTTTGATATTTCATCCTTGGTTTTCTATTTGATTATAGTCAGGGCAGATTCTTGAATTTAAAATTTCCTACATCAACAAAAAAAAGAAAGATGTTGATTTCATCCTCTAATATTGCCAAGAAATGATTGCTTAACTCAATCCAAGAATGAATTCATTTACTTCTAATCCAAAACTTTGAGCACATGTCATAAGTTAGTGTATGGTTATTTCAAAATTTGGTTATTAAGTTAATTGGGCCTCTCGTTTTGGTGAAATGTGATTATATTTAGAAGGTGAATGGCTAAAAAGTGAATATAGTTGGCCCCAGTTTGTTTTCCATATCCTAAAATAACATCTGTGCTTTAGAGATCAGATGAGAAGAAAATTTACAGTTTATTATGTAAGCCTGAATTCTGGGTGTTGCCCTTTGCAAATTGAATGGAATTGATCAATTAAAATTGGATTGCGAGGATACTGATTGTGTGCTTTGAAGACATCTCTTTGTCAGCCAATGTAATTTAGTCTGCAGGAGTTTGTATTTGAGTGTTTATAATACATTTCAAAAGTTTAATTGATATTAGGTACTTGTCCATGATAATAAACTAATAATCACCTGTAACTGATTTCTTTTAGACCATAGGTCTTGTGCAGAGACTGGGGTAGAATTAATGCGACCATATCTTCATGAATTCCTAACATCTGCATATGAGGATTATGACATTGTTATTTGGTGTAAGCTATATTTCTTGTTTAGATTTCCATGAAAATAAGGTTGTTCCTTATATTATTCTGCTTTATAAAATAACTTACATTTTATATTGAGGAAATTTTTGATGAAGCATGTTTGACTTTCCTGCATCACAATATAAACTTATGATATATTTGACAGGTATCACTGAAATAGTTAAATAGGAAGAGAGTCGATTATGGTGTCAAAAAAAAAAGTCCTTATTTACACAAGACCCCTCCTTGATTAGGAACTTTTGTTTCTGATCTTTACTGCAGAATCTTTGATGGTTTGGTATACAGTTTCTTTCTCCTTTCCCCATCACTCTAGTCTCAAAACACTTGGAGAAAGATATGTGTAAAGAAAAATACAGTGATGTAGTTGTTCAGAAATAAAGGCCACATGAACTTACTTAAGGAAAATTAATAAATGGGCTAAAGCAGTGTTATTCAATGGTCTACCATTCTAGGAATGGATAGATTTGTGATGAGTTTCCTCCAGAAAGTAAATTTACTACATTACTGAGTGTACTGTTTAGTTCAAGTGACTTTTTTTTGTGTGTGTGTGGCAAGACTTTCTTGAAAAGGGAGGGAGTGTATTGATTCACATCTCACCTTCCCACAGACATTTAAAGTTGTCTTTTGGCAGTGTCACAAGCAGAAAAGAGCTTTCTTGATAGTGAATTAAATAAAAAGCCCCAATTAAAGATGGTACATTTAATTGTCCTAGGTTTTTTATGAGAGACCACATAGTTATTCTGTAGTCTGTACATTTCCTTTGTATTTTCTCTTATAATCAGAGTATCTCAGTTTAGTGTTAATATGAGTTCACAGTCATTGAAATTAAATACATAGTTAGATACATAATTTTCTGGTTTTTAAGATACAGAGAAGAAAGCTTGGAAAACAATTTTTTGTTCCTCAATTCTGACACCTGAGAAAAAATTTATTTCCTAAATGTTATTAGAGTAGACTTAGGAATTTAGAGAATGTTTTACACTCATACGTTTAAAATAAGTTATTTTTGTAGAATATATTATTTCATGGTAGTTCATTGAAATGGGCACCTCATTTTGGAGCTGTAGAGACTAGGGTTTTAATTGTGGCTCTGTCCTTGCTATGTGACAGTGGGCCGGTCAGTTAATCTCTCTGAGCCTTAGCTTCCTGATCTGTGAAATGAAGATCAGTGAACCTGTGTCACAGAGTAGTGGTAAGAATAAAAGTATCAGTGTAACAACTCATACCATGTCTGACATGTAACAGTTACTTATTAATTAGTAACCCTTTTCATTAAACGAATCTTTCTGTTTTTCATCTGGGAATTATAGACCCAAAATATATACTGAATTAAAAAAATTGTTTTCACCTATGTCATGATTGTTGTCACTGTAGACATATCACTGTCTACAATTTTAGTTAAACTGACTAGTTTTGCATATTATAAGGTGATTCTTTTGGTTTTTGTGTGCATGCTAAAGATTTTTATTTTGAGAACTCAGGTACCTCTTTTGCCCTTAAAAAATAACACACACACACACACACACACACATACACACTTTAAATAAGTGAACTTTTTCTCTTTTTAAACATTTTACTTTGGAATACCTATATAGTTTAGTCCAGTAACTTGAGACAAATAGGGCACATAAAGCTGAAGGTTGAATTTTAATATCAGTGATCTCAAGTCTGATTGGTGTCTGATGGTGAGCAGGTACATAACATAGAATTTATGAATTTAGGTGTCTCAGACTTCTTGTTAAAAGCTGCAGGACTCAGTGAGCACTAAGTTTGCTGAGCCTGACACAGTGCTAATTTTCATTGGACTTCAACATAAACTTTTGACACATAACATTAATCTACTTATATTGGTGTATATACCTGTCCATTGCCTGCTAGTAGGAACATGGAAGAAAATGGAGATCAAGCGCCCTAAATTCAAGCTGAGAACTGATAGAGGATAGTATGAGAGCTGCTTTTAAAGGAGTGTTTAGGTCTTGGTTTGTGAATTTCCTAGGTTCAGAGTTCTTTAGAGCATTGGTTACCTGTATCTTTTAGATAAAATTGTTCACACTTTCTTGTCTTGAAGACACACTAAAATAAGTTTATTTTTATAAATAGTTAAAAGAAAATTACCATAAGTATGCTAGGGATTATTTGTGATGCATTTGAACTTTTAATCTTGCTTAGAAAACTAATTTGTATAGAAGAAAGACTTTAAAAATGAAATTCAAGCTTTTCATATGTATTGTGTTATCATTCCTCATGTTTTAGCTGCAACAAATATGAAGTGGATTGAAGCTAAAATGAAAGTAAGTGTTAGAAAACGGTCGTTTAACATTGTTTTGAAACTCCATTTGTCTTTTTAGAAAGTTCCGAAGTGAATTAATTTCATTGTCACTGGAGGGCATTCAGTAGAGAAATAGATGCCAGTATCAGGAGTTAGAGATGTGTTTAAAGTCTGTTTAATGGTGGTTTGCATTGAATACCTTTTTTTCAAGAAAAAGTACAGCAAAGCTCCCTCTCCTCTTTCCCCCATCTTATGATAATGCTTGCTCTTCCCTGGTCTGTGTACTTAAAGGAGTGATGCTCCTCTAAAATAGTAAATTGGAAAGTAACCTGTTTCTAATTTACTGTCTTTGGACTATCATTTATTGACTTAGCTAAGTAAAACTGAAATACTTGCTAGTTGTTGAGCAAGATGTGATAGCCAGGGGATAAAAAGTTGGCATTATGGGAAATTGTAGCTGGATTGTTCATAAAGCTTGGAATTTTCCACGTTTTTATGTTTTAACCACATGAATGTTTGTATTTATAGGAGCTGGGAGTGAGCACAAATGCTAATTATAAGATTACCTTCATGTTGGACAGTGCCGCTATGATAACAGTGCATACTCCAAGGAGAGGATTGATAGATGTAAGAAGTCATTTTATTTTTATTTAAAGGCTTGTTTGTTTTCTAGTGTGCTTTTTTGTGTTTATATTGATGGAATAAACTACAGAAAGAGTTCAGAAATACATCCGAGTGGATAGTAAAGTATCAATTGAGTTTTGACATAGGAAGATTGTATTTTAGGTGAATAGATTTGAATTTTAATGATAAAATTAAGGGTCTTGAGGAAGGACTGTCAAGAAATGTCATGATTAATTGTCCCGTGATAACAGCACAGTGTTGATAAGACAGAGTAGGTAAGAAAAAATACTGAATGTCATCAAGGAAGATACTAGAAACAGACCAGAACATTCTTGCCCTGCACTATATAAAACTGATAAATAAAAGCAGATAATACTTCTTGATGCGTGTGCTTGGGGTGATGTATGTGAAGTCCTGGATAGAAGCAACAAGAACCATCAGAAAGGAATTGGGCTAAAAAGATTAAGGTTCTTTGCCTTGTTTGCTTGTCAAGTAACTAGTCATATTGTGAACCTCTGCTGTCTGTAAGGCCCTGTGATGGGCACTGCTGGGAATAAAGGGCTGAGGAGACATGGCTCATGCCTTTTGGAAGTACAGAAACTAACAGGACTTGGGGAGGACTTCGCAAACTAGGAGAGCGTAGGGGAGACAGCATAAAAGTTGTCAAAGTAATAAATAGAATTGTTTAAGTGCGTGGGGACTTTTCAATAAAGGAAATACTGTATACATCAGGGGAAAAATATAATTTATTACCTACTAAAGTGGTACATTTTGTAGAATTTAAACAGTAAGAAGAAGTTTGGGAAATGTTAAACATAGCAGTGTTTATAATAATGAAAAAGAAAGAAAAATAAAATCTCAATAAACAAATCCCTACAAGAGCAGGAAATTGGATGTGTAAATTTTTGTTCATCCATTTAATGGAATGCAGCTGATTATTTGATGTAGAAGAATATATAGTGCTTTAAGTATTTTTTCATGATACATTATGAAAGTAAAAGAAGTATTTTAGCAGTACTTGCAAACTTAGAAAATAGTTTTTAACCTTTGTTTGGTTCAGGGTTTCCTTTAGCTTAACAAAAGATCTGTGAACTCTTTGAGGCTGCTGTTTATCAGAAAGACTGGAGGTAAATATACCAGAATATCTAATTGGCAGTCTTTAGTACTAAGCGAATTATAGGTAATTAAAAATTTTCCTTTGTGTTTTTCTGTGTTTTTAGATTTTTCTACAGTCAGCAATGTTACTTCTCTAATTGAGAACAAAAGTAGTTCATGTTTGGGGGAACACACGGTGCTCGGCCTGGTTTCAGAATGACAGCACTATTTAAGAGGATGTAGGATTTCTAACCCTGTGCGTTATAAACCTCTTGTCATATTTCTTGAGGCTTTTTCTTAGTTACGAAAAGAAGAATCTGGCTTATTTTGTCAGTTTCTATATATTTGTCTTCAAATATTTGGGCGGTTTGTTTCAGTAGTAAACAAATACTGCAAACAAATTCAGCAAATCAAATTTTAGTAAAACTAAAATATTTCAGTAAGATTTTTTCCAGTAGTGAGGACACTAAGAAGAAAAAAAAAGGCTTTCTTCTTATTAAAATAAATTATAGAAGGAGAAAAAGAAGAAAACCTTTTCAGTGATAACCCTTGTCACCATTTACTTACTACCATTTAATCTCATGTAATTATTATTAGCATATAATCTCATATTACCACATATGAGACTTCTGCCGTCAGCAAAAAGTACTTTTTCTTCTAAAAGTATTTTTTAAAGATTTTCTGAATTTGTCAAATATATTCATGTGATTCAAAAATAAAGTATCTAGTGGGAAGTTCCTCCCACCTGGGCCCTGCAAGCACTCAACTCTCCTTCTTACAGGCAGTCACTGTTAATTCTTCTGTGGTCTTACAGAGAATTTATACAAGTATCAACAGACATAAATATGTGAGGAATTACCTTTTTGAAGGCTCATCCTGAGAATTCAGAAATAAAAGCAAGAATTTATAAATGATGGTGCTTTTGAAATTAAGCAAATGCCCTCAAAGTTATGCACCCATGCCACTGAATTAAAGAGAAAGTCAATTTTTCCTCTACAAAATATTTAAATTTTGTAATTAAAGAGCCAGATACATTGTCACTAAGGTTTTCTAGTTTTGAAAACAGACCCCATGTGAAACCTCGAGATCTGAGGAGACATGTAATTTCTCAGCAGATATCTAAACAATTACTAGATTCTTACTTGCTAAATCGAATAATTACTGTTTTCCCTTTTTTGACCCCAAATCTTCATGTTAAAATTCTGGGAAGTCTTATGATGGGCTTATTAGCCCAGTTAGACATGACAGACCTTTCAGCAGCTGACATCTGGAGGTACATTGTGCTTTAAAGTGTGTTTTGCATCTCAGTTCCGGGCTGTTCACACAGCCAGTCGTCCCTGTCCCACAGGAAAGGAGGTCTCTGGCATAGTTCTGCAGGGTATTTTGCAGTATTTCCGCTTTTGAGAAAAGGATGAACTAGTGACAAAATTTGAGTTAAATCTCAACTTTTATTCTAAGGTAAAGCCTCTTGGTGTTATATGGGGAAAGTTTTCGGAGTTTTACAGCAAGAAAAACACTATTATGTTTGATGACATAGGAAGAAATTTCCTAATGAACCCGCAGAATGGACTAAAGGTAAGACATGATTTTACTTGCTATGCATATGTAACCTGGAATCTGCAGCAGAACTTCAGCAGTATTGCATTTCATAGATGTTTGGAAGTAGTGTATTATTATAGCAAGAAAAACTTAAGTATTTGGAAAAATTCATGTAAAATTGAATATTCTCCCTTTTACACTGATGTCTCCTTAGTTAGCCAGCTCATCCAGATGTTTTATTTTTAGTTGGCTTCGTGCAGCAACGTGAGCTTAATGTCACTGACTTTTAGCATCAGAAGTGAAGGCCTGAGACATTCTATTAGGGGTACAAATCTTGACATTTCTGATATTCTAGTTAGCTGGAAAGCTGTCAGTAAGTATTTTATTCCTTTGTAAACTGAAACTAAGAAACAGTTTTTAAATATTTCTAAAGTGCAAGTGGAGCACTTAGAAATTTAAAATGCTAGAGGTCGAAGGAACCTCAGTCATTTTGTCTACCTTTTAAATTTTATAGAAGCAGTCTGAGGCTCAGGAAGTTCATGACTTGCCCGCCATCATGTATATGACTGGTTCATGACGGGATCTGAGTAAGCCTAAGTAACTCGGTCCCTAGGCCAGCGGTGCTCTTAGCATGACCCCACGTGCAGTCTGACACAGACAGAATGGTGACATTTAATCCTGGTAGCAGGATAAAATGGGTAAGAGAGAAATCTGAAACTTAAGTTTTCTGGCACGTGTGGTTGCCTGTGTGTCAGTACAATGTGAAAATGGGAAAGAGAGCTCTGTATGATGGTTCTAGTGCAAATGGAGTCTCTCTTTGAAGTGGAAATCCTGACACGGAGATATTTTTAATCTCAGTCTTCACCTTTTCCACAAGCTGAGTTCTTGGTAATTTTAAAAGACAAGAGAGAAAAACCTGACGAATATGCACTTTTAAAGCTTTCCTTACAGACTGTTGATGCGGTGTTTAGTGTACAGCGAGGATACGTTATGGGCAGAATAGTAATCTCGGTAGTGAATTGCCATAAATATAAACAATGTTGATTTGGAAGAAAAGTACTTGGAGGTTATGTTACCCTTTAAACATGATTTCTGTTTGAGGCTTTAGGAGAAGTGTTTTTCCTGTGTGTAGTTTACCAAGTATAACATACAAAAATATGTTCTTCAGTCTTGAGAAAAGAGCCTTTGGATCTAAGGTGAATTCTGTATGAAACTAATGGTTATTATTTGTATTGGAAAGGAGGTAAAGTCATGGTATTCAAGGAATGATTAAAAAGTTTTGAATTGATGATTTGATATTTGTGTATATTGTGAGATGGTCACCACAACGTCTAGTTAACATCTGTCACCATAAATAGTTACAAAATATTTTCTTATGATAAGAACTTGTAAGATCTACTTCCTTAGCAACTTCCAAATATGCAATATGATATTGTTAACTATAGTCGCCATACCGTACCTGACATCCCCATGACTTACTAATTTTGTAACTGGAGGTTTGTACCTTCACCCATTTCTCCCACCTGCTTCTGGGAACCACCAATCTGTTCGTTCTGTTCTCTGTATATATGAGGTTGGAGCTTGGTTTTGTGGGGGTTTTTGTTGTTGTTTTTAAGATTTCACATACAAGTGAGACGGAGAATGATTTTTGAGAAGAGCTTTAACTTAAAAAAATTATTAGGTTCATGTGTGTTTTTAGAAGAAACATTATTTTTCCAGCCAACATTTTTTTGAACCAGAGTACTCAGTATAATCACTGAAGGAATTCATAAAAATACATGTCTCCCTCTCCAAAAACTCTAATCCAAGATAGGTATTTTTAAGCATTCTGCAAGTAATCTCTTGCATGGCTCCTTTTGAAAACCTCTTTTAAGAAGGTAGTAATTAATGATCTCCCCGCATTGACATAGAAGTGATTTTAAAATTGAGAAATATTCTTAAATTCTTTTATGTTATCACAGTTTCATAATGTTCTTGGTAGAAATCTCAGATTTCACAGAGAGCTGGAAGATTTAAGACTTTATTTTTAAAGTATAACTTCTAATAATAGCTTGCTAATCTTAAGGTTTGAAATATAATACAGGAGGCATTGTCAATTATGAACATGGTCACTGAACTAAAGGAACTTGATGGATAAATCAGTAGTTACCTTGAAAACTTCACTTTTATTATCTGTGTAAGGAGATGGTGATATAAGAGAAAGCAGATAATCTAAACATTCTTAAGTTCCTGAAAATGTTTCTTTCACATGAGACAGCAGTGGAAATTTATGTTGCCTGCCCAGCTAGTGAGCACTTAAATCATTCTTGAAGAGTGATTCAGTAAGTGGTGATTATCCTGGAACAAGTGAAGCCAGTTAGGTGATTTTTCCTCTTAATTAGCTTAACTTTTAGATCCAGAATCATTGGGCTATTTTAGTTTTGTTGTTTAATAGTGCTTAAGACCCAATGTTCAGAAAGTAAAAGTAAGTTAGCAGGGCCTTGGGTTCAAAATCTTATTTACCAGCTTCTGACTCTGCACTTTCTCTTTCAATCTGAATCTCTTCCTGTTTTTACACTTGGAATCACTTTGGTACATTGTATATTAATAGTTTAAAGGTTGCCTTTATAACCTTTAGTGGAATGGAGGACTACTCTAATAAAACATTGCAGGCTTGCCCTGGATTGTGTGGAAGCTCACGTCACTGCATCGTGGTAGTGTGCCTGTGTACCCCTAGCTGCAGGGCTTAAGCAGAGAATCTTCTCGATCTCCCACACTCACTGCTGCTGCTGTGAAACAGCTCCGCAGGCTCTGCCTGATTGTAAGCAGGACCCCCTACCAGTGCTTGCTCGGTGCAGATTCTTACTGGTGGCCTCCGAGCTGCGGGAGCCCAGCTGACTGACAGCTGTGGAGGTCCCTGGCCCTAAGCTGTTCTGGTGCGAGTAGAACTTAGGGGAAAATTCTCTTCTGTCCATTTCAAGCTGGTGGTGTGTTTTTCCAACAGTGAAGTATATTAAAAACATTTAAAACCTTCCCTACTCTTAATGGATATGGTATCCACTCCTGTGGGCTCAGTGTTCTCAACGAGTGACAGTGATTAAATGCCATCTGTTTTTAAATGTCACTATGTGAAATTGATGACCAGTTTGCCTCCCAGTCACAATAAAGATGCATTAATACTTTACTAAAGTGACTTACTCAGTCCTTATAGGAGTTTGTGTGACTTTTAAAAAAATATGCTTTTGTAATGGAAAAATTCAAACATGAACAGAATTGCATAGAATTGTGTAAACTAACCCCCATGTATGCATCGTCTGCTTTAAACAACTTTTTAATTCATAGTTGTGTGCCTTATACCTTATCTACTTCCCTCTCTGACATTTTGAAGCAAATCCCAGACATCATTTCATCTAAAATTAGTTAAAAGTTTTTGAAATGGTATCTTGAGTTGTATATAGATGAGCTAATGTCTTAAAAAGCAGAGCTCTTTATTGGAATTGTAACATAAAGCACATAAAATGTATAGTCTAACAAGTTGTTTTAAAGAGAACACATGTAGCTACCATCCCAGTCAAGATATAAAATCCCTTACTAATTACAGCCCTCCACCCTGCCCACCATCCTGACTCTTATGCCTTTGAAATAAATGCTTTTTATTATAAAATAAATAAACCTTAAAAATTTGGAAAATATGACTACTTTTTACGGGAAAACTCTCATATAATTAAAAAATATTTTTATGGAGGCTTTAGTGATAAAAAATGCTTATGATAAAATGTGAGAGGAAGCGTTACACAAATGTATAATATCTTAACTATATAAAAATTTCATAGAAATATACTCCCCTGTAGATCAAGCTTAGATTTAGGTTAACTTTTTATGAATGAAGTGAGAATGAGATTATTTAATTGGTCCGGAGCAACTGGATTGTTCAAAGGAGGGGAAGTCTAAGCAGCTTTGCAAAGTGGGGAAGCCATGTAGGGTTCAAGTGCCATAGGAGCTGGTGCTGTCGGGTCCAGACTGAAAAGATAACATAAGGGAATTAGGTGGAAGAGCTCTTAGCTCGGACCTTAAACACGCCATGACTATCAGTGAGATCATTTAAACGTAACTGTTAGTATTGACATCCATGGTGATGTTGTCATCTTAGTAACGCTGATTTAAATGACAGAATAGTGTGGGTTTGTACTAGTTTTCTTACTCCAGTGTGAAGTGTTGAATGATGTTTGTTTTTGAATAGATAAGACCTTTTATGAAAGCGCACCTAAATCGAGATAAAGACAAAGAACTTTTAAAATTAACCCAGTACCTCAAGGAAATAGCCAAATTAGATGACTTTTTGGACCTAAATCACAAGTATTGGGAAAGGTAAGTGCTAATTGCTTATTCATTTTGTCTTTACATTGATGAGTAAAATTGTCTGGCAACCCTGGTATACTCTTAGGTCTTACTTTTTATTTAAAATTCTAAAACTATTTTCTAATCCAGTGACATCTCCAAAAGTATTTTTCCCTTTATCTTAACCTCTTACTTGTTCATAAACCCACATCTCTTAAGATCTTTAATACTTCTCTAGTAGAGAGGACTTTAGAGATTAGTGCACATTTATGATGTTACCAGTTAATTATTTTGTGACATTAAATAGGTTACTCTTGTATAAATCATATGGGAATGTAACCCCTGTTCTCATACTGTAAAATCATGTCAGAATAAAATAAAATATACTAAAAAGTTTTCTGTTAAAACTTAAAAATAACTTCTCTGTGTAGCAGAAAAATTAGAAAATTTATTCTCTAGAAAAACAATTACTTAATGGTTTTTCTTTCCAAGATGACCACTACTTCCAGCTTGGTGTATAGTTTCCTAGTCTTTTTTTCTGAGCACAAATCTACATATGGATTGCATATCAACGTCAAGATTTTGAGGCAGGAAAAACCTCTGGAGAAGTAGACAAGATTATTATGTATTGCAAGTGCTTTTTCAGAATTAGATCTTTAAAGATCTGATTCCAGTAATACAGCAACAAAAGAAACTTTATGCAATACAGTAATACTTGGGCTTTTCAAATTACACTTTTGACTTTTCAGGTCACTCTTACATATACTTATTATTAGAGTCTCATAATCCTATTAGGAAGGTAAGGCAGGCAGTTTTATCCCCATCTCCAACTTGTGGATGGTGTAAGTAAGTAGTAGAGATAATAAATGCCACAGTGTGAGCAAGTTGCAGCTTCAAAACTTGTCCAGCTCTCCTGATTTTAAGAACTCTTCCCCCGCCTGCATCGCTCTGAGTGTAATAATTCATAAATGTGAGAAATAGAGATATAAAATTTTAATTTATTTGTAGACTCCTATAAAATAATGTGAAGAAAAATTTGCTTAGTAAATTAATGTCTTTGCATCTTTACACTATTGATCAGAATTCTTTAGCAGCTTTGGCTCATTATCTTTAGGCAAGGAGATCTTTAAATGGAATTTGAAGTGTTTCTGGAAATTACAGTACTAGTTAATGATTCTCTCTTGAAAGTAAGGCAGTAGGAGTGATAGAGTCCAGCCTCCCAGCCTTGTTGTCAGTCTGAGCTCTGCCACTTTCTAGCTGTGTGAACCTGGGCAAATCGCTTAACCTCTTTGTGACTACAAAGTAAGAATAAGTTCTCACAGAAAGCTTCTCATAGATCAGTTGTGAGGACTGAATGAGTTACAATGTGTACTTAGAACAGTCCTTGGCACAAAAATGTCAACACGTGTTATAAGCATTATTAACAGTTAATACTTACCTTGAAAAGTTTTGTTATTAAGCAACTTTGGGGAGAAGCATTAGATTGTTAACTTGAATTCTGTGTGATACAGCTTAGACAGCTTTATTTTATTTCTTGCAGGTATCTCTCAAAGAAGCAAGGACAGTAGTTACAAGCTATGCTGGCAGTTATTGAAGATACTTGAGATTGTGAACTTCTTGCTCTTACACTAGAGATATTACGGTAGTGCTGGACACTGCAGCAAATACCAGACTGCTTATACTTGGTCTTCCAGTTTTTTGTAAATTTAATTTTATATTTTTGAAGATCATAGCAATACCCTTAAAAAAAAAAAAAGCCAAACCTTTCCCCACCCCATATTATTCTGTAACTCTTGAAAAATATTTTCTTCGGCATAGAGTACTGAGTTTCCCCCGGCCCCACACAAAAAAACAGTGGACAAAAATGTATACTTAACAATGTCATCTTGTGACTTTAGAAACAAGTATGTCTTGTGTTTTTGTCTCATTGTCTTCTTGTTTAAGCCCAAACCCATCTTGAAACTACTGTTTTTCTCTTAAAATCAAAAAAAAAAAGTTTTTAGTAAGGAACCTAGTTTGGTATGCTTAAAACCACCCAGAGTTTTTTTTTTTTTTTAAATTTCTTCGTCATAGACACAGTTTCTCTTCTTACTGCACTATATTAACATCTGTAAATTCTGAGCTGTCTCAGCTTTTGGTCTCTATGTGTGACAGTGTTCTTTGAGGAAAACTGGAAAACATCTGCTATGGTACAGATGTGCCACAGTGTGCCAAATAGAAAACGTAAGACTGAAGGATGAAGCTGAGGAACAAGAGAGTGTTTTGGGGTGGCTGAGTCGAAGCACTTCTGCCTGAAACCATTGTCATGAAAGCAGTAAAGGCGGTACATTTTAAAATGGGACGCATCACTGGTTCAGCCCTGAAAAGCACGAACAAAAAGTTTTTGTTCTGCTCCAGCTCTATCTTGTCAAAGTGCAAGCACTGTGTTTCAGTGAAAATATCTAGCCAAAAGACTAAAAAAAACTTTATTTGCAATGCTTCTGCCTGCAGGTATGTAACGTGACCACTGTTCTGTGTTGACAGTATTGCTTTATACAGCTCTTGTGTTTGAAAGGACTTCCTTTCAAATAAACACGGTGTATATTGTTCTTACGAGACTAATTCTGTGGTGTAAATAATAAACTCCTTTTCTTAAAATATTGGTTATCTCCTCTCTGTTACCCCCAAATATTTTGCCTCTTCATTGAATCACAAAACAAACACTAGGTTCTGGCAGGGGCCTCTTGAAAAAAATTAAATGTGTATGGTTTTAAAAGTGTTTATATCACCATTCCTGCATTTGGAATTGGTTTGCACAGTGAATTAGGTATGTTAAGCCACTCAGTTCTAATAAGCACCATGTTTTCAGAAAGATAGACCATTTTCTTTGTGACAGGTTATTATAAAGATACACAGTGTGGAAGATTTGTTTACAAACCCTTAGTTAAAATGATTCAATGAAGTCTTCTTAATTACAAAGCTAAATTTAAATATTTAAGGATGGAATAGGATTTTTTGGAGCATTTCATGGGTACATTACCCCAGCATAAAGAGCAGTTTATTATTCCAAGGTAGGCATGGAAAGGGTTTTATCTTTTTAAGAAAACTGAACACGTAAAACTATATAGGTCAATGAAAAGCAATCATTTCCTAAATCAGTATAAATTAAAATGCAAAAATTAACAAGCCTCAGGAAGGAAAGCAAAGTAGGATTTTTAAAAAGCATTTCCTGCCATTAGGTGGTGCCCAAACCAAAGTTTATGGGCGGGTACACTAAATTAAGCACTCCTGGGAGAACACTGTTACTGTCAGCTCATTGCTTATGTGATTAATACGTTTATAGGGTCTGGGAGTTTCTGTCTTCTGCATCGTGATTTGTTGAACAGATCTATATATTTCTGCGTGGCATATACAGCAGAACCAGATGACTTAATTCAGATGTGTATGCTAGTGAAACAGCAGATTCACTTTATGATATTTATGTTCCAAACTTCCAAACAATTAGTTCCTCATAAAGTACACGTAATCTAAAAACTGCAGAGCATCATTAAATCTTTGATGTAGAGGGTGGGAAGGGATAGATTGGGATTTCAAAATGTAGAATAGATAAACAAGATTATACTGTATAGCACAGGGAAATACAAGATCTTATGGTGGCTCACAGAGAAAAAAAAATGTGACAATATATATATGTTCATGTATAATTGAAAAATTGTGCTCTACACTGGAATTTGACACAACATTGTAAAATGATTATAAATCAATAAAAAATGTTTAAAAAATTAACAAAAAAAATCTTTGATGTGGAGGGCAGTTTGAGATCTAGTAGCCCCTGAAGTCCTTTATGAAAGTCAGTTATTGGATTAATGATACCTGGAGGAGTATTTCAGTTTTAAAGGCAAAACTGTTCCACCTGGATAATTTGAGACAATCTCGTAGTCACAGGTTCTGAGCGCTAGGGCGTGGACATCTTTAGGGGGCCATTACTTTGCCTACCACAGATGCTCCCCTTCAGCTGGGTTCTGGGTCCCTTTCCTGTGCTCCTGTGCAGGCACCGTTGGTCGCCTAACCAGTAACTAATTCCCACTCTCCGCTCCTTCCCCGCTGTCACAGCCTGACTCCCACTTTAGAGGGTGAAAATGCCAGACTTTTGCCTTCCCAGCCTCCCTTGTACGTAGGGCATGGACGCATTTGCCAGAGGACACTGGGAAAGATTGTCTTCTCTGATTAAAAAAAAAAAACTTGGAGAACAGCCCTTCCGACCTTCAGGCACGGTGGTGCGAGGACACGATGTGGGGAGCCCAGCAGCCATCTCGAGGGGTGTACGTGAGGACAAAAGCAGCACTCCGGAGCGAGCAGAGAGGGTTGAGAAGAGTCTGGGCTCTTGATGACATCACTGCATTGCTGAGTTACATCCCACTGCACCTCACCTGCAGGTGTCTTGTTAGGCTGTCCTTGCTGTACCTTATCGCTCAAGCCGCTTTTCATTGGGTCTTTCTTACTTGCAGCCTGAAGCATCCTAATCGGCAGCTCCATAGAGCCCTTTCCCTCACCTGTGCTGACACCACACTGTAGCGTTATTGTCTGTGGCCTTGTCTTCAGCCCTCTTTGAGGCTGTAGGATCTCGGAGGGCAGTCGACCTGTCCACCTTGCTCACGTCCTCCCTCCTGCATCTATATACCAGGCACAGTAAACACTTAGCAATTATTGGCTGAATGAATGAATGAGTGAAAACCCTCCCTCCCCTTCAGTTTCCTCTACTCCAAGCACCTACTACTCTCACCACGGAGAGTTGGGCAGGTTGTGTCCTGCACAAGGGTCCCTGGGCGAGGGGGCCAGTGGAGTCTAAATAGCCTGCTCTCCATTCAGTAAGCCAGCACCCTGGCATGGGGCTGTGCTTGCCCAGAGGAAGGGACACCTTTTATCTTGTTAGCATTAAGCGCTCTGGGGCGAGTAGCAGCAGGCTGGCAGCCCAAATTCCGACTTTCCCTGTCTGACAGAGCCCACGGCCCTGCTGTTAGTTTTCTGCTCTCGCAAGGGATGGAGCAGAGGATCCTCTTCGGCTTCCGGACACCATGTTCCAAGGAGCGTGGTGACTATTTTGAGAAACTGATTAGTACTAAAGTACTTGTGGGAGCTCCTGGGTTTTAATGTGCAGCCCCTCTCTGGCAATAGTCTGGTCATTTTAACAGCAGTCATCTGGAAATTATAATTTAATATATCAGGAGCTGCTAAAATGAGAGTCAGGAGACCCAAGTTCAAGTGTGAGCCCTGGCATTAAGCAGGCTCTGGGCTCCTGGGCAAGGCACTGAATGTCTCTGGCCTTCAGTTTCCTCACCTATAAAACTAGAGGTTCTGAAACTGCGGCCTGCTGCGTTTAGGGGTGTTAAGGGAGGGGCCCAGGGCTCTCAGTGGTGAACAAGGAGGTGAGACTCAGTGGGTGGGAAGCTTCAGCCAGAGCAGCTCTGCTTTTATCTGCCTTACATACATGACTTTATAAAAAATTAATTTATAACCTTCTTGTACGGATACAATTAAAGCCCCTTTGGCACCCATCTGCCCCAGTCCCTGTGTATGTTGGGACTTCATTTAAGATTTCCATTTGAATGAAACGGTCCTGCTCAAGTGAGTCAGGGAACCATTGGTCTGATTAGCCTCTAAGGACCCCAGAAGTGCAAAAAAGAGGGATTTCAAAGAAAGGGACAAGCCACAGCTGGAGAATGTTCCACAAGGTCAAGTAGAAACACACAAGATGGTTTGCTGAAATGGAGCATTGCTCTGGGTGCTCTGACTTGGGGGCGACCCCACTGCTGTGTCTTGGCAGTGTACCCAGAAGAGGGCTGGTGGGTGGGAGGACATAGATTGCCGAGACAGAACGGGAGCTCGTGTGCGTGTCCCAAACCTGCCCTTATCTCCACGGGGAGGGAAGATGAGGTGGCATCAGGATGGTTTCCATTTGACCTGGCTTTAGAAAAGCAGCAGCTGTAACTAGCATTTGTTGTGTACTAGCGAGGTGCCTGGTGCCGTGAGCCTGGTCTCCGTGAACCCTCACAGCACCCCTGGGAAGTGGCAGAAATATTTGTTATGGTGGTGTGGAAACTGAGGCCGAAAGAGACTGAGGAGTTGCCGAGAGGCACATCACCAGTAAGGAGGGATCTAAGCCCAGAGCCAGGTGCACACACCCGGGCTCTGCCCTCCTCCCAGATATTGCCTGATGCCTCTGCATCTCCATCCCACCTGTATGAGTGCTGGGTGGTGGGTGTGGGAAGGACAAGGCCGACTGGACTCTGTAGTTTGTCTAAGGTTTGTCCCCTCGCTTTCCCTCTCCCCCAAACCCCAGAGCCACGGGCAGAACGCTCAATTCCTTGGAAATCCACATGCTCGGATTAGCAAGCAGCCAGGGAAGACGCCAGGTGGGCTGTGGTGAAGGGCAAGGGAGAGATGGTCTGTGCTTTTGAAAGCAGACGGAGATTAGAGAGCAGCTGCCCGGCCCTGCAGCCCATCACACACGGGCATCCACCCAGTGAGAGGAATGTGCCCACCCCCCGGCGGACCAGACCTGCGTGGAAGGAAAATGCAAATCCACTGCTCCAAGCACGCTACCTGCAGAAGAAGTCTTTTCCGTATGCATGCCTGGTCTCCTCCGCCTTCAGCCTGAATGGTGATTTCATTTTTGCGTTTTATGAGCTTGAGAGAGAGAATTCATTTCCTTGATGTAATATGACCCTCTGGAGACAGTCTTGTCCAAATACATTTTGCTCACAGATTCTATCCTGCAAGAAGGGCGGTACTGAAATGAAGTGGAAAGAGGTGATTAAAATCTGATTTATAGGTAAGGTGAATTGTTAGGTTTATGCCAATTTATTGCATCCAGGAAGGTGAAAGGGAATAAAAGAGCTCTTCCTGGGAGCTGGAAACCTTTGTAAAAAGAAATAGTTAAGGTTCATGTGCTCTATGCCAGCCAGGCTACATTTAATATATTCACCACATTTGCCCCTGTTTTCTCTCTCACTAAACTGTAGAACCCTTGAAGGCAAGAACTGGCAATCGTATTTATAAGAAAGGGATTCTGCACTGAAGAGGCTCTTTAATCTCAAGAGACTGAGCCACTTCTTTCTTCTCCACTGACTGATTAATACTCCCTTCATCCCAGCCTAGTTCTTAGAGACGTCAGGGCCTCCTAACAATGTCTACTATCAATGACTCCCCTATCTCCCCGCCCCTAAAAGCACAGGGTCCAGAATTATGACTCCCCTATCTCCCCGCCCCTAAAAGCACAGGGTCCAGAATTATGCACCTTTCAGGTGACAAGTAATATAATAAGAATGTTAACCATAAACTTATATTGAGGACTTCTATGGACCAGGTGTTTTTCTAAGTATTTTCTGAGTGTCATTCCACTTAAACTTCACAACTTTCCCTATGAGGCAGGAACTGGCATCCCATTTTACAGATGAGGGAACTGAGGCTCGAGGTGCTTCAGTCACTTGCTCAAGATCACAGAGCTAGTCAGTGGAAGTAGCTGCCGTTTGCTGGGTGCTGACTGTGAGCCAGGCACTCGGCCGGCCTCATTGAACCAATGATCTCATTTCACAGTGCTCTTAACCCTCAGGAAGTGACCTCCAGTCCTTTGGAGACTGGAAGCTATGTGAGGGCAG